TGTGCACCATGCCTCTAGTTCATCGAAGACCCCACTCCCTCTGCTTCTCCCCAGCAGGGCCAGGACCAGAATGAGACAAGAGAGGCACCTCAGGCACAAAAGTTACCGAGGCACTCAGGCTCACGGCGGTGCCAGCGCCATCTCATGGGAGGTCAGGCCATTTCGCAATCATTTCCCATCTGCAGAGGCTCAGCAACAGTGGGCGTTTCTAAGAAGTGACAGAGGCAGGCTCCTTACAGGGTCTTCTCCCTCTAGGCCAGTCTTCCTGCCACATCCTGGCACTGCTTGCCTAAGCTGGCTAGCCGGGGAGGGGTGCGCACGGGCTCCCCTGCCCCAGGCAGCCTCTTGGGCTGTGGCTCCTGCGGTGCCTGCTGGCAGATTAAATGAAAACAGACACAAAGACAGGGGTTAGGAGGGGTCCTACCTTCCCCTTTCAGTCCCCATTCCACACCACCCCCTCGAGGCAGTGCCCAGAGGCCTACCCACACCCCAGTAACACCCTTCCTCTTCAGCTCCCACGGTGGCTCCCAAAAAGCCTGCTGAGTACAACACCCCCTCCTTCCCGCCAGCTGCTTTCCCTCTGCCTCCTTTCCTGCCTGGCTCCCCTTCTCTCCCAGCTCCTCAGGCACCCCACCTTTCTTCCCCTTCTCCATCTCTCCCCCTGAGAGAACTGTAGCCCCATTCTGCCCCCCAGGCACAAAGCTTCACCCAAATTCCACCCCGCCCTGGATCTCCACACCAAGCGGCTAGGGGTTAATGCTCGAGTCCGGCAGCCTGAGTGGCCGTGGTCAACACCTGCTCCCTCACCCCCAGCCCGAATTAAGGTGGGCTAATGGCGGGTGCAGGCTGTTCCACGTGGCAGATGGAGCTACTACGCCTGCCCCAGCGACCAACGCAGCAGATGCAGCCGAAAGGCCCCAGGGAGTGGAGTCGCAGCACCGGCCGCCAGCTGCTGTCTTAATTAAGGAATGTGAGAAGCGGCCCCTATGAACTCACCAGCTAATTTACTCCTGTGCACTCCCCCCTGTGGCTGGGTAATTAATATGGTGTGAACCAGTGATTAGCGAGTCCAGAGAACCTGCCTGTCGCAGACTTAACCCTTCCCTGCACCTGGGAAGAATCGATGCCTTCTTAGTCCCGTGTTTCTCCAGTGGTCACGTGGGCAGTAAGTTTTTCCCTTTGGGGAGGTGGGATTTTTTTTTTTTTTTTTTTTTTTTTTTTTTTTTTTTTTTGAGACAGAGTCTCACTCCGTAGCCAGGCGCCAGGCTGGAGTGCAGTGGCACGATCTCAGCTCACTGCAACCTCCGCCTCCTGGTTCAAGCAATGCTCTTGCTTCCGCCTCTTGAGTAGCTGGGACTGCAGGCATGTACCACCTCACCCAACTAATTTTTATATTTTTAGTAGAGAAGGGGTTTCACCATGTTGGCCAGGATGGTCTCCATCTCTTGACCTCGTGATCCACCCGCCTCTGCCTCCCAAAGTGCTGGGATCACAGGTGTAAGCCACTGCACCCAGCCGGAGGTGGGATATTTTTCAGTCTTCACTCAACCTTCTCCCACCCTCTTTCCCAGCTTCCTCAAAACTCCCCTCAAGGAAAAGGTCTTCGGGTGGGGGAAGGACTGCGAGTCATTCCTTGCCTGGATGGACCACTACGGGTGACCAACTCTCCTTAGTGGGAATGTAACTGCCCACTGTCTTCTCCAAAGGAATTCAGGATCTGGCTCCACGCTGACCCCATGCCTGCATCCCACAGCCCTCCCAGTCCTAAGCTTTGACACTTTAGAATCATTCTATCCAATCCAACAGATGCATGCAGGGCTTTGGCTCATCGAAAGCCTGTCCTTGGCAATATTCAGGGTGCAGGAGGAGATGCCCTCATGGAACTCCCTGTCTGGGAGCAGAGAGTCAGAACAGGGGATTGCCCAGCCTGAAACACGCCTTTATCTGCATGTACTCAGATTTCTCCGCTTCCCTCTCCCTGGCGATTTAGTAGCAATAGTTAGTATTTGAGTGCTAACCTCACCTGACCCCAGGTTAAACCTTCAGATGTGTTCATTGGCAACACTGAGAGGTAGATACTATCACGGATCCCCATTTCACAGATGAGGATACTGAAGCACAGGAAAGTTACTTTGCTCAAAGTTTCACAGCCGAGATATGAACTCAAGTCTGAATCATGCTTGAGTTCGGAACGCCTACCCTCATGTGTTGTATTCTTAAGTCTCACTTCAAGTACCAATCCCTCCACGGAGCCCTCCCCAGCCTGCCCCCTGCCCTGGCAGGGTCAAATCTGTCCTCTGGCTCTCACAACATCCAGAGCACACATCTGACATTGGTCTTGCCACACTGGTCGTAATTATTGGTTTATATATCCCATCTTCTGTGAACTCCTTAAGGTCAGGGGCAAAGCCTTTCATCTCTGTGTCACTAGCTCCTGGCACCTAAGTAGATGCTCAATAAATGTCTGATGAATGAATGACGGAATTGGCAATGGAGTCATAAATGAGTTCTCTCCCCTGCCCTCTCCACACCCCAGCCAGACAGCTTCCCAGTTCTGCCCCTTTCTCGGTCCTCTAGACCAGGCGTCCCCAAACTTTTTACACAGAGGGCCAGTTCACTGTCCCTCAGACCGTTGGAGGGCCGCCGCATACTGTGCTCCTCTCACTGACCACCAATGAAAGAGGTGCCCCTTCCTGAAGTGCGGCAGGGGGCAAGATAAATGGCCTCAGGGGGCCGCAGTTTGGGGACGCCTGCTCTAGACATTTCCTTCATCTGCAGGCCCTTCTCCCTCCCACAGGCCCATCACAACAGAAAACAGCTTCCCCTGCCTTTTTGCTCTCCCCCAACCTGCCCCGCCTGCTGCCCTCCCACCCCCACTTAAAATCTGCAAAAGCCCCTCCCTTCAAAGAGTTCTTCTGGAGCGTTCCGCCAGTCCAGCAGCCACAGACTTACCCTGAGTGGGGTGCTTGTTATAACCACAGATTCCTGGGCCCCAGCTCACCCTGATGGCATCTCTGAGAATCCAAGTGCTAAACGAGGTTGAGAGTCACTGGTGTCCAGAATAACTTAACCCAGTTTTCATGGCCTCCACAATCCGCCCCAACCTCCTTTTCCATTCTTCCCACCCAGCCCTTAAGGACTCCTGCCGGCTGTCCCTCGTCCTCTGTGGAGCCTAGTTGGTATTTTCCCGTGGCCACATCCCTGCACACTCTGCTATCCCCTCCTGCCCAGAGCCCACCCCCAAACTCTGGCCCTCCCCTTTCCTCATGCTATCTAAACCATGCCCATCTTCAAGGCCCAGCTCAAATTCCACCTTCTCCGGAAGCATCCCCTGCCCGTATCCGTGAAGCCCTCCTTCCCACCCACTTCTCAGGGCTGACTACCTGTTTGCACAAAGTGGTGTCCGTCTGCAGATAAGCCTTCACTTTCTCTGATGTACCTATCTCTACATTTGGGTTGTGAGTACCTGGGGGGGGGGGGGGCAAAAACCTTACCTAAAAAATCCTCCCTTTGCGGCAGCTTGAGGGGTATTCTTGTCTGTGAGACATGAGCTGTTCTGTGGCCCAGGGCAGTAAAAATGAGGCAGCAGTAGATACTGCCGGTTTGGGGAGAAAGTCCAACGCTGAGGACCTGGCAGTGTTAGCATGCAGAAACTCAACAGAGGACCTGGCAGTGTTGGCATGCAGAAACTCAGCAGAGTCTGGGGAGAGAGGCAGAGGGCAGGGCAGAGCAGGGCTCCCCACTATCAGCAGAGTGCGTTTTCAGCAGGGCGTTGGGGAGCTGAGGTTCCTCCCTGCAGGCGTTTATGAGAGGAGGCAAATACTAAGTAGGGATGAGACGCGGGAGCAGGCTAAATCCTAATGCCTAGTTCCTGGCTGAGTCCAAAGCTCGGTGTCCAGTTTGATTGACAGGTGAGGGGCTGTGAGCGAGCCACCCTCCAGACTAGCAGGAACGTTCCTCCAGGGCGACACATCCTCTAAAAACCTTCCCCGACAAGAAACCAAGAAACTTGAACTGACAAGAGAAACAGGATGAAGAGGAGGTGACTGTGGCAAAATAGATCACACTTCAAAGGTTGAGGGTTCCAGCTCAGCCCCTCTGTGACCTCGACAAGGGATCTAACCTCACCCTGGTTTTCTCATTTTCCCATTTCTAATGGGGTGACAAGATGATCCTCTCAGAGGAGAGTTGCAAGGCTTACATAAAGCCAAATGTGTAGCCATGTCTAGAATGTTCTCCCTCACTTAACAAATAACTCATGAAACATCCGTAATGTGCCCAGCACTGAGGGAAACACAGAAAGGAATAAAAGACCACTCTGGCTACACAGTCTATGAAGACCAGAAAACTGCCATAAAAGACACACCAAGAGTAAAGAGGGAGGTATGGGCATGCGCAGGGCACGAGGAGGGGGCCTGTCACCTGCCTGTGGTCTGGAAGCCTGGAAGGGCATCCTCGCTGGCCACACAGCCGTGCTCTGTTTGCAAGGATAAAGGGAGCAGCCTGCCTGGTGGCGGGGAAGTACCACACAGGAGAATGTGAAATCAGTAGTTCTGAGACGAGGGTCTCTGGCTTGGGATGGCTGGAGAGCAGAATGGATGTGGGCGACCAGCCTGGGGAAGAAGGCCTGACTCAGGAGGACCTGCCTGCAGAGCAGAGCATTGGTCCTCATCCTGAGGGCCATGGAAGGCCACAGAAGAATTTTAAGCTAGAATGAGGAGGACAGGTAGCAGTGAGGCAGGCTGGGAAGCGGGAAGGTCAGCAAGACTGCATCCCAGCCTGCCTCAAGGCAAGGAGGATGTGGCTTGCGTGGGGGCTACTGTCGCCATGTGCTAGCCAACCATACCATGTGAAAGAGGCTGACTTACAAGAATCCGCTCCTGAAAGTCCAGCTAAGCCCAGGGCCAACTTCCACTTTATTCTGGATGTTTTCACTTTTGGGACATCTTGTTCTGAGTCAAGATTCCTCCTTCTGAACATGGGACTTTCCAGAAGGACCACAGCTCCTCCCGTGCATCCACTTGGCCTGGGAGGTTCTGGATTTGGGTTGTCAAGGGAGTTAGCATGCCTCTTTGGAGAAGGATGGCCATGTGGCCCCTGTGGAGCCTGCTTCTCTGGGAAGGTAAGTGGGACAGGCAGATGGCCTGTCATCGGAGAGCTGAAGGCGCCTCCCCAGCTGCCTTCGCCAGATGGGCAGGGTGCCCTCAACCCGAGTGAGAACCCACAAGCTGAGGGTGGGTAGGGAAGCCTGGAACAAACTCTTGGGCAACATTTTAAGCTAGTCAGATACAAAGAGATGCAGGGTCCTGGGAGGGAGGAGGTGACAGCTTGAGGAGTATTCTTGTCTGTGAGACACGAGCTGTTTGTGGCCCAGAGCAGTAAAAATGAGCCAGCAGAGAATACTGCCTGCTTGAAGAGAAAGTCCAATGCTGAGGACCTGGCAGTGTTAGCACCAGGGAACTCCACAGAGTCTGGGGAGAGAAGCAGAGGGCAGGGCAGAGCGGGGTTCCCCACAATCAGCAGAGTGCGTTTTCAGCAGCCCTTGGGGGAGCTGAAGTCCCTCCCTGCAGGCCTTTATAAGGGGAGACAAGTTCTAAGTAGGGATGAGAGATGGAAGCAGGCTAAGTACGGCCCACGTGGATTTGGGGGTGATGTGATGTTGGGGTGGCTGACACGTGGGGTTTCCTCCATACTGAGCGATCCCTCTGTCTGTCTGATGCCTGAGTTCCCCTTCTTCAACAACAAGGAGACAACATGATATGGGTGAGCACTGCCAGGCCAGGGATGAGGGTTTGCGGGGTGCGGCAAAGATTCAGATGTCATTATTTACATCAGGAGACTCACAGGGCCTTTGGGTTGCTTTGCCGGGTCTCCCTGCCTGGGTTCCTGGCCCTGAGAACTCCAAAGCCTGCAGATTTCCTCAGCATTTCTAAACGTGCAGGAAATCACATCTTAACTTCAAAAAAGGCCTCAGTCTGTTTGGCTCACAAAATCTTTCAAATCATCAGATCATCAGACATGTGAGACAAAAATAATTTGTCTTTTTTTTTTTTTTTTTTTTTGGAGATGGAGTCTCGCTCTATCGCCTAGGCTGGAGTGCAGTGGTGCCATCTCGGCTTACTGTAGCCTCTGCCTCCCAGGTTCAAGCGATTCTCCTGTCTTAGCCTCCCAAGTAGCTGGAATTACAGGTGTTCGCCACCACACCTGGCTAATTTTTGTATTTTTAGTGGCCACCAGGTTTCACCATGTTGACCAGGCTGGTCTCAAACTTCTGTCCTCAAGTGATCCACCCGCCTCAGCCTCCCAAAGTGCTGGTATTACAGACATGAGCCACCGCCTCCAGCCCAAAAATAATTTTCCAATGGCCCTTAATGATAAAAGATCTGTGTGCCTGACCTGATACAGACCTCTCATTTTTCAGTGGTACTGAAGCCTAGGGAGGGGAGGTGACATGCCGAAGGCCACACAGGTGATCTGTGGCAGCACCAGGAGCAGGTAGAAGCTAGGTCTTGGTTGACATCCAGTGCAATTCTCTTTGTGTTTTATGTTCCTACTCCGCATTAACAAAGAGGGACTGGAATTATCCTGGCCAACTGAGCAACCATCCAGAACACATCACATTGCCCACACCTTCATCACCTCTTACCCTGCCCAGGAAGCTCGATGGAGAGAAAGAGCTCACGGTCTAGTGGGAAAGGCTGACTCATAAACAGGCTATAAAAATAGAGGGATAAGGGTAGTCACCATGGTGACCCCAGGCCACTGTGAGAACACAAGAGAGAATATGTAGCCTGCAGAGAGGGATGGGGGAGGCCAGAGGAGGCAGTGTGGTGCAAGAGTGACCAGAAATTAGTCAGCAAAGGAGTCAGGGAGCATTTCGGGCAGAAGCGTCTCCCATACACCCCTGCCTCAGACACAGTCCCCAAAAACAGCCTCTTGCCATCTCACCCCCTGTCTGTTTCTCCTCCTGTTCTGGATCACAGAGAATAACATCCAGTGGATCCCAAGGACCTGGGAGCCATCCTCAACTCCTTTTTCTCCTTCACTCCCCAGAACTGATCCATTACCAAAGCCTGCTGATTGTACCGTCTTCACGTCTCTCAATTCCTCTCACTTCTCCCCATCCTGGTTGCTCCTTTCCTCAATTCAAGTGGCCATCACTTCTCCATTGGACTCATACGAACAGCCTCAGTCCTGCCCACCTCCAGTGCATTCTCCACATCTCTGCTGGAGCGATCTTTCTAACCAAGCATCTAACCTGTTACTCTCCTGCTTAAAACCTACCTGAGACCCCCCACCCACCCCCCATTGCTCTGCAGAAAAAGCCCAGACTCCAGTGTTGCTTTCAGGGCGCTGTGTGATCTGACTCCCACCGACTCTGCAGTGTGATTTCCTACTCCTCCCACAGAGAGCTACTCTCAGTTCCCCAGGGCACCAACTCTCCTCCTCCAGGCCTTTGTCCGTCCTGAGCCCTCTGCCGGAGTCACTTCCCTTTCCTGCTCCAGGCGGCCCTCAGCTTGACCTGGCTGACCGCCATTCCTCCTCAAGGCTCAGCTTAACCGTTTGTTTTCTGAGCCCATCCAGGCCGGGTGAGGTCCCGTCACCCTACCTGTGTTCTCCCAGGACATCCCATTTTTCCCTTCATGATATTTAATTGCTTTCGTGAATGTCTGGCTTTCTCTGTAAGCTCCACAAAGGCAGAGACTGGGTTATCTTCCATATGTTTTATCCCTGGTGCCTGGCACAGTGCACCTTCAACTTGAGTGGAGGGAGTGTGGGTGGAAGGGCCCCAATTCACCCCCATGGCAGCTCAGACGCATGCAAGAGAAGAATGAGGAGCGTGGAGCAGGCAGAGTGAGCAGGGGCTCTGTTCTTTCAGCCCTACCTCCCATTACAGTTACTGGTGCCCAAGTGCTGAGCAAGGTCGGGGACTGTGTGCTGCTGGTGGCAGTGCGTCCCCCTGGCTTCCGAGTCCGTGAGGCTATCTGGCGATCTCTCTGGCCTTCGGAGGAGCTCCTGGCCACATTTTTCCGAGGTTCTCTAGAGACTCTGTACCATTCCCGCTTCCTGGGCCGAGCCCAGCTACACAGCAACCTCAGCCTGGAGATCGGGCCACTGGAGTCTGCAGACAGCGGCAACTTCTCCGTGTTGATGGTGGACACAAGGGGTCAGACCTGGACCCAGACCCTCCAGCTCAAGGTGTACGGTGAGTGTGTCTGATACCGCCTACCTGACCCTCTTCTCCCACAAAGCACCAGACAAGCATTCCGAGTCATAGCAGCTAGGGAGAGCTGGGTCCCAGCAACCTCTGGTCTCTGACCACAGTGCTGACTCACAAAACAGCTGCTCCCTGGCAGTCACATCTAAGAAAATTCCTCCTGGCTGCATCAGCCAGGCTTTGCCGTTTCACAGTGCTTGCCTGAACTCTAGCTCAGTCTTTTTGTGGCTCAGTGGCCTTGGACACAATGCTTAGCCTTCCTGAGCTTCACCTTTCTCCTTAGTAAATGGGCATTATAATATTACGGTGTAAAGTACCCATAGGGTGAAATGCAGTGGCATTTGCAGTGGTATCCAGGATGCAGCCTAGCCTATGCTTCCTCAGTTCTAAGGGACCATCACAGACTATACGATGTGCCACTAGTCTATGTACCACTGTAAAGCAAAAAAAAATGATATTACAAACTAAACTATGACATAACTGATTTATTGAAAAATTAAATTATAGACACATACATATGTCTGTTCATTAAGGCACTATTCACAATAGCAAAGACTTGGAACCAACCCAAATGCCCATCAATGATAACTGGATAAAGAAAATGTGGCACATATACACCATGGAATATTATGCAGCCATAAAAAAGAATGAGTTCATGCCCTTTGCAGGGACATGGATGAAGCTGAAAACCATCATTCTCAGCAAACTGACACAGGAACAGAAAACCAAACACCGCATGTTCTCACTCATAAGTGGGTATTGAACAATGAGAACACAGGGACACAGGGAGGGGAACATCACACACCGGGGCCTGTCGAGGGGGTCTAGGGGAGGGATAGTATTAGGAGAAATATCTAATGTAGATGACGTGTTCATGGGTTCAGTAAACCACCATGGCACATGTATACCTATTTAACAAACCTGCATGTTCTGCCCATGTATTCCAGAACTTAAAGTGTAATAATTAAAAAGTAAAAAATTAAATTATAATGAAACTATCATTAAAAGTATAGAATTTACATATTTCTTAAAAGAGCTTCTGAGATTTTAGCTACATATGATTCACGGGTTCTCTCCGTTATTCATCATTGCAAAACAAACCACCCCAAAGCTTACTGACTGAAAACAACGACTCTGTTTATTTCTCATGAGTTTGTGGGTTGGCAGGCCCAGCTGGGTGGAACTTCTGCTTTGCGTGGGTCTGCAGGGCCGTTCGCTCCGCTACATTCAGCCACCTCAGCTGGCTGCACGGACTGGGGGCTGGGTGGCCCTCATTTCCCCAAGACACCTCCAGCACAGCCACCCCCGTCACCTTCATCATTTGCCCTCTGGTCAAGAAAGAGTGGCTTTCAGCTCTCATTTATCTACCTAATGGATTGGAAAAGAGGCACAGGTGACCCTAAACCCCGGTTTCAGTAAAACCTTAGAAATTTAGATAGAGTGGAAGAAGCGGGGAGTCCAGATTTAAGAATGGAAAGCAGAGGAAGCAGCTGGGAAGAGGGTAGCAACGAGGGAGATAAAGGCTGTCAGCAAACTGGGGAGGTGTCTCTCATTCCTCCCCCGCCCCCCAGCCTGAGATAGCTGACTGGCTATCCTTGGGCAAGCAACCCAGGGTGCTGATGCAATTGGAAGGTGCCTTTCTGGATCCACGCAGCCCTGAGGCTCATCTTGGCAAGCAGAGTGCCGGCTGGATTTCAGCAACCCCCGCCACCTGTTACCCTGTGACCTCCTTAGCCCATTGCCCTTGTGCAGTGAATAACCTACCCCACCATACAGGCAGCCCTGGAGCCTCCTCCGATCTGAGTCTCAGCTGCCGCACATGTGAAATGAGGACATTGAATGTGATAATACATGCAGCACCCACACCACTAAGCTCTAAAATGCCTTGTTCTCAGCATCTGAATTACAGATTTTAAGGAAATTGCTGTTTTATTGCTTCCAAATACATAGCGTGATTAGAACTAATTGCACGAAACTGCCAAGCAGCCGTCCTTAGGAGCTCTGCTTTGACAATAGATAAGAATGATTTGAATTAGCAGATCAGTTACTAGAAATGTCAATGGGTGTTTCCACTGCGCTTGATCGTGTTTGGAAGCAGCTTGTCCTCTTAAGTGGCGTAAATATCCCCCCTGTAATCTTTGTTTATACTATTAGTGTGCCCAGCAAATCATTTCTCTTTCATATCACAAATCCCACCAGACCGAGCTAGCATTAGCGAGGCTTTTCTCTGCTCGACTTTGGAATGCTGTCAGAAACAGAGCCCTCCCGTTGTCACCAGAATGCTCTCCCACTGGCCTCCTTTCCACTGAGACTCAGGATTTACTCATCAACCTGTATAGGAAAGTGGGTCTGTGGACTAGGACGCCAGGATATCCGTGTGTTCAGTGGCCAGGTGTCAAGCACCCACTGTTTGCCAGCACCGGAGAGCTAAGGTTAGCGAGCGAGCGAGACAGAGCCCCCACCTCTGGGCCCCTCCTTCACGGCATTTTGTACCCTCATAATTATTTTATTAATTATTCATAATCCTTTGTCAGTACTTGTCTTTCTCACCAAACTCTAGGCTCCAGAAGGCTGGGAATGTATTTGTTTTCTTGCCTGACTTAATAAAGGCTTGTCATCTCTTGCTGACTGACTGACACATTGTGGGAGAAATACTACACAAAGAGATAGAGTGTTGGGAGAGCTCAGAGCCATGCCTGGGATATCGGGGAAGGCTTCACAGTCAAGGCATTAAGCAATGTGTTCCAGCTGGGCCTTGAAGGATGGGTAGGAGTTTCCTGGGAGGCCAAGAAAGGGAAGGCATCTGTGTGCGCAGATGAACCGTGTGAAAGCGTGAAAGATATTCAAGAGCATGACATGTTTGGGAAAACTGCAAATTAATTAGGATGAGCAGGGAGAAGCAGCAGGAGGTACAGCTGGAGAGACAGGCATGAATCATTTCCTGAAGGGTTTTGAATATCAAGCTAAGGAATTCAGCTTCTGTCCCGTGGGCAGTGGAAACCCAGACAAGATTCTGGAACAAGACAGCCTTAGTCAGAGGTGGTGTCTAACCCTGGGTGGGTCCCAGAACCAGAGTTGTGCCCCCTGCCCAGCAGCCGTGGGACCCACACCTGCTGTACTTCTCTTTCCCAGATGCAGTGCCCAGGCCCGTGGTACAAGTGTTCATTGCTGTAGGAGGGGATGCTCAGCCTCCCAAGACCTGCCAGGCTTTCTTGTCCTGCTGGGCTCCCAACATCAGCGAAATAACCTACAGCTGGCGACGGGAGACCACTGTGGACTTTGGCATGGAGCCACACAGCCTCTTCACAGATGGACAGGTGCTGAGCATTTCCCTGGGACCGGGAGACAGAGGTGTGGCCTATTCCTGCATTGTCTCCAACCCTGTCAGCTGGGACTTGGCCACAGTCACACCCTGGGAGAGCTGCCATCATGACGAAGGTATGCTGAGGGCCAGCAGTCAATGGTTGAGTGCTTATGAAGCATCAGGTCCACCTCTGACCACACCCCTCCATGTTCAGCACCAGGGAAAGCCTCCTACAAAGATGTGCTGCTGGTGGTGGTGCCCGTCTCGCTGCTCCTGATCCTGGTTGCTCTCTTCTCTGCCCGGCACTGCGGCCCCTGCTCAGGTAGGAGTCCTGCACGTGCAGGAGGTAGGTGGAGGAGGTAGAGTTCCTGGGGAGCAGGGGGGCTTGGACCTCCTCCTGTTTAGGCTTCAGATGGTCTGCCCCTTCTTACCTTTCCCGACTCATCTCTTGGCCTTCTCTAGCTCATCATATCTTGGTTTCCAACCAGACCCAACTACTTGAAGTTTCTTTCGTGGTTCTCTGAATGAGCTGTTCTCTCTCACCATCTGCGGACCTTTGTACGTTACATTCCCTCTGCCTGGAACACACTTGCCATGATTCCCACCCAGCTTCCCTCCTTCCTGTGGCTTTCTCCTACTCAGTGTTCAAGGTGTGCATGCTCCACAAAGCCTTCCCTGATCTCCCCCACACTCAGGCTGATTAATGTCCTTCCTTTAATCTTCATTACTTACCCCAATCAGAGAACTATTTACGCTTACTTCCCCACTGAATTCTGAGCTCTTAAAAGGAGGATGCTGGGTCACCACGGGACATGTGAGTGGTTCCTAGAACACAATAGTTCCTGAAACGTAGCTGGTATCGACAGACATTGTTGAGTGGGATTCTAGATGACTCCCAACCCCTTCTTGCCAGAGATTTCTACAAAATGGCTCCCTAAGAGAAGCTACTCCCTGGGCAGTGGCTGATAGGGCTGCCGTCTTGAGAAGAGGAAGGAAGGGAAAACTCCAAGATCAGACCAGGTTGTAAGCTCTACATCCAGCTCAGTCCCTGCCTGTGCCCCGGGATGCCCTGCCCGTGAAAGAACCACCCGACTGACCAGGGCTCCATGGCCGTTTCCATCCCAGGCTGTCAGAGCCTGGCTTGTCCCAGGGTGCAGAGAGGGGGTCAGCAAGGAGGAGGCACTGAGGCCCCATTATGGTGGGTGTGTCCTAGAAGGCACCATATTTGGGTCCAACCGCTAAGCATGGGGGCAGGCAGTGCAGATTCCTGTTCATTCTGTCCAGTGAGGAGGAGGCCAAGAAGGGTTAGCTGAGGCTGCGTGCCACCTGAAGGCCCCATCTGCTGTGGGGAGGTCTGGCCCTGGCCCCTGCCTCAAGAGTCCCCAGGAGTTGTGATAAGAAAGTAGAAGCCAGGAAAAGAGCAGGGGAAAAAATAGCTTTACTGAGATATAATGTATAGAGCATACAATTCACCTATTTAAAGTATACAATTCAATGCCTTTTGGTATATTCACAGAGTTGTGCATCCAGCCCCACAACCAATTTTAAAACATTTCCATTCCCTCCCCAAAAAACCCCATAACCCCTTAGCCATTCCCTCCCAATTCCCCCATTCCTCGCACAGCCCTAGGCAACCACTAGTCTACTTTCTGGCTCTGTGCTTTTGTCTTTTCTAGACATTTCATATAAATAGAACTATACACTATGTGGCCCTTTGGCCTGGCTTTTTTCACTTAGTGTACTGTCCTCAAGGCTCAGAAAATAGCACCTTTGGCCACTGAGAAGGAACCCAACCACCTGGGATCGTAGAAGGCTCCACACAGGGAGTCCAGAAGCTGGTTCTGGCTCTGCCGCATGGCTTCCATCCAGTGATTTAACTGGATCCACCACAGCCCTAACTTTCCATGCCTTCTACAACCAAACAGTATGGCATAGTCGTAGGTCAAGGTTAGGCATTAGGAAGAATTTCCTACTCTTGAAGAGCCTCCTTTTCCAGGGTGTTGCAAGACCAGGAGAAATGTCCCTTTGCTTAAGGTGACCTTGGGCTAACACACTCAGGATTCAGAGGTCTGCAGGCAGGCCAAGGATGCCAAGACTACAAGCATTGGAGGGGTAACTCTCTTTCTGATGTATTTACCAGGGAAAAAGAAGAAGGATGTCCATGCTGACAGGGTGGGTCCAGAGACAGAGAACCCCCTTGTGCAGGATCTGCCATAAAGGACAGTACGAAATGATGCCTGGACCATCAGTAACCCCACTGCCCAGGCACACGATGTTCGGGGACATAACTGGTGCCTGGAAATCACCACAGTCCTCATACCTCCCATGGGAATCCTGTCCTGCCTCGATGGGGCAGCCTGGGCGCCATCACACTACGCGGACAGAAAGCACCAGCACGTTTCACCCTTCCCCTTTTTCTCTCCCATCTTCGCATGTCCTGGATCCTCTCTGGGCAACATGGGCCAAACAGAACATTCCCTCCAGGACACTGGAAGTTCTCCAGGATCCAGGTCCACAGGGACAATGATTGTCCAAGGCATTCCTCCCCCACCACTATTCATAAAGTATCAACCAACTGGAACCAAAGAATTGCCTCCAACCTGGGTCCTAGGCACTAAAAGATACTAGATGTTGGAACTAACAGAAGAACTCTGAATCACCCATGCCAGCTTCAGCATCAGCCCCAGACCCTGCTATTTGAGATCCCGATGCTTCCTGATGGCCAAGGCATTGCTATAAAAAAAAAGTCTAGAAACAGGTGAAAGTGAAAGGTGGGGGTCAGGGGTTTCTCTTTCTGGCCTAAGGACTTTCAGGTAACCAGAGTTCATGGCCCCTCAAAGGTAAATTGCAGTTGTAGACACTGAGGATGATTGACAACCCATGGTCGAGATGGGCACTGTTTTGCAGGAAACACCATATTAATAGACATCCTCACCATCTGCGTCCGCTCTCATGCCTCCTGCAGGATCTGGGAATGGGGGTGAAAAGTCTTTCCTCACTCTCCAGCAGTGACCAGGAAAAGAAATATTGAATTTGTCCCAGCCAACAGGACGTTCTTACACAACTTCAAGAAAAGTAGCTCAGCTCAGCATGAGTCTTCCTGCCTGAAACTGAGGGAGTGAAGAGCCGTAAAACACTCTGCAGAAGGAACATTACGGAGAGAAAGGATACGGAGGTCCTCTAGAATCTGTCACATTTATTTTTCGTTTCGAGGGGAGGGAACAAAGAGCCCCACTGCCCAACAGGAGGACTGTAGAAGTCACTCTGACTCCAACGAACTTTATATTGTGGCCACCTTTGGAAAATACATTCTGCCCCTGAATGATTCTGTCTAGAAAAGCTCTGGAGTATTGATTGCTACTAGAAAAACACTTAATGAGCTAAACTTATCCTTGGAGATTATTAGCTGATAAGGTTCACAGTTTCTTTTCTTTCTTTCTTTTTTTTTTTTAATAAAGACAGAGTTTCACCATGTTGGTCGGGCTGGTCTTGAACTCCCGACCTCAGGTGATCCGCCTGCCTTGGCCTTCAAAGTGCTTGGATTACAGGTGTGAGCCACCACACCTGGCCAAGGTTCACAGTTTCTCTCACCCACGTGTAACTCTTTTTCCTGGGGCCTTACTCAGGTCTTGATAATAGAGAGAAAGGAGGCATTGAAGAAACAAGGGTGGGTTTGAAAGTGCTATTTTCCCAGAGGTGCCTTCAATCTCCCCCCCACAGGATGTCAGTCCCATCCAAGGACCTTCCCTCTTCTCCCCAGTTCCTGAGCAATCACCTCACCATGGACAAAGGCTCAGCACAGCTACCCTCCAGACCCGCATCATCAACCCTACTGTTCCCAGATCCTCCCTGCCTGGCCTGCTCAGCGGTTCCCTGTGGGTAACCTGGCTTTACCGAATGCTTTTTCTTTTCCGCACCCACTTCTCTCCTATCACCTTCCCCCAAGATTGCCTGAACAAGGCACATGGGGTCACTCAACCTAGCAGCTTGTGCTGTCCGCACCTGCCACCTACAGTCACACCACATGCCTGGTCACTGAATAATGCAAAACTGGCCTCAGTCCCTGAAAAGGATGTGGAAAGGAAAGCCCAGGAGCCGACAATGAGCCCCTAGTGGTTTTGTGGGGAAAAAATACACAGCACTCCCCACCTCTGTTCACTTCATCTCCAGGGCCCCACCTCAGATCAAAGCAGCTGTGGATGAGATGGGACCCACAGCTCTCGCTCCACAAGGTGACCCTTAGCAACCTCATTTCAACAGTGGTCTGTAGTCTGGTGCCCCAGGACCTCTTTGAACAGATCCACACTGCTCAAATATAGTTCTCATCCTCCGTGACTCACTTGTCAACTAGTGGACTAATTAACCCTCCACCAGAAAAATACGAAGTGCTTCCATGAGACCAAGTCTGTGCTAATAAGCATTGAGGCTGATGCTTTAAAAGTCACACCGCAACAAATATTGATTGAGGGCTCAGCATGTGCTGGGTACATTTCATGGCACTTGGGAATCAGTAGTGAAGCAAATCCCTTGCCTTTGAGAGTTTATGTTCTGGATAATATAAATAAACAAGTCAGCATATGTCAGACGTTGTTAGTTTCTTTTAAGAAAGATAAGGCAGGCCCGGCGTGGTGTCTCACGCCTATAATACTAGCACTTTGGGAGGCCAAGGCGGGTGGATCACAAGGTCGGAAGTTCAAGACCAGACTGGCCAACATGGTAAAACCCCGTCTCTACTAAAAATACAAAAAATTAGCTGGGTGTGGTGGCTCATGCCCATAATCCCAGCTACTTGGGAGGCTGAGGCAGGAGAATTGCTTGAACCAGGACCCGGGAGGCAGAGATTGCAGTGAGCCAAGATCGCACCACTGCACTCCAGCCTGAGCTACAGAGTGAGACTCCAACTCAAAAAAAAAAAAAAAAAAAAAGAAAAGAAAAGAAAGAAAGAAAGATAAGGCAGAGTAAAGGGTTAGAGAGAAATGTGTTGGGGAGACAGGGTCTGTCTTGGATAAAGCAATTGGATAACACCTTCAATGGGGTGACATTTGAACTGAGGCCCAGTGAAGTGGAGGAGGTGAGGAGGCAGTGGCAGAGTGTTCCAGACAGAGACCAGAAAATGCAAAGGCCCTGAAGTGACAGCGTGGTTGGTGTTTGCAGAGAAGACAGTGGAGGCCAGAGGGACTGGATCCAAACAAGGGAAGGAGTGGGGAAGGGTCCAGAGAGACGGCCTGGGGCCGCATCCTCTGGGTCTTCGTGGGCTTCGGAATGCCCCTTTGTTGGAGTTAGGATGACAGAAAGAACCCCTTCGAGAGTCTAAATATCCGACTCCTCCCAGAACACCCTTCAGGTGCTCGCAGTCAGGCCAGAGTCCTCTCCAGATCTTCCTTTGCTCTCCCTTGTTTTCATTTGAGCGACAGTTTTTGCGTCCGTTCTCTTGTACAAAGGACGAATACAAGAGCTGCTAGGGCAAAGGGCTCATGAGACACGATGTCAGAGAGAATGGGTGGGGGAAGGGGCATAGCAAAAGAAAAGAGAGGACATTTTTCTCATCAACGGAGACATGAACATTCAGTGCCTCATTTTTTTAAAAACTACTGCGGGAACCGAGATTGTACCACTGCACTTCAGCCTGGGCAACAGAGCAAGACCCCTTCGCGATTGAAAAACAACCAAAACTGCTGCAAACATGAAGGCCACCTCTGGCAAATCTTTCTTCCATGTGTATTAAGAACTAGCACCGGGCCAGGCGCGGTGGCTCACGCCTGTAATCCCAGCACTTTGGGAGGCCGAGGCGGGTGGATCACGAGGTCAAGAGATCGAGACCATCCTGGTCAACATGGTGAAACCCCATCTCTACTAAAAATATAAAAAATTAGCTGGGCATGGTGGCACGTGCCTGTAATCCCAGCTACTCAGGAGGCTGAGGCAGGAGAATTACCTGAACCCAGGAAGCGGAGGTTGTGGTGAGCCGAGATCGCGCCATTGCACTCCAGCCTGGGTAACAAGAGCTAAACTCTGTCTCAAAAAAAAAAAAACTAGCACCTGTTCAGTTAATCACTCTTGGTTACTTACTGATCTTCAGAGGACACACCATCTCCTTCCAGATTTGGCTCTCTGGCTGCTTGCATCTGTTCTGCATACAGCCTGAAGGAAGGGCCTCAAAAAAGACAAGAAAATAGCTAGCCCTAGATCTAGGAAAGCTGTAGTGGCTGCCTCCCCTCGGGCTGTGCCTTAGTCAACATTATCTGCCAGGAGGGGCAGGCTGAGTACATGGGTAAGTAATGGGGAGACTCCCACAGTGCAACCAGCCCGGGTTCAGGTCTTGAAGTCACACTTCCGGGCAGACACTGGAAAACAGGAGTGTCCCAAAGAGAATGACCAGAATGGTGAAAAGTCTAAAAATCTTATATGAGAAATGATTACAGAAACTGGTTATATTGAGGCTAGAACAAGACACTCGGAGGAGCATAGGTTGTCAAATATTTGAAGGGCTATCACGTAAGCACAGACTGTAACTGGGGCCAATGGAGCATATCACTAAAACGCAGATACCGACTCATATGAATAATAGGACCTTAAAGCTGGAAGGAAATCTGTGGTTACTCAGTTCAAGTTTTTTTTATTTCTCATGTGGATACCGAAACTCAAAGAGAATATCACTCCTCTGAAATTACATAAATTAGTGGCACAGTCAGAATTACCTTTAGATTATCTAAATCAGTCCAGTCCCTTCTACTGCACCATGCTACCATGGAAGAATGTTCTGACGAGTGGAAAAATCCAAATATGAAGCAAACTGTTTCAATGAATCTGCTTAAGCAGAAACCATCTCAAAGCAATACTGTAAACTAGAGACTTAGAGTAATAAATTATAAATTAAAGAAAGAAAGGCCAGGCACTGTGGTGTACATCCATAGTCCCAACTACTAAGGAGGCTAAGGTGGGAGGATCACTCAAGGCCAGAAGTTCAAGACCAGCCTGCGCAGCATAGTGAGACCCCATCTCTAAAAGGAATAATTAAAATTAAGAATTAAAAAGAATGAATGAATGAATAAACGGGGAGTCAAAAGAGGCCAATGGCCGGGCGCAGTGGCTCACGCCTGTAATCCCAGCACTATGGGAGGCCGAGACAGGTGGATCACAAGGTCAAGAGATCGAGACCATCCTGGTCAACATGGTAAAACCCTGTCTCTACTAAAAATACAAAAAATTAGCGGGGCATGGTGGCGCATGCCTGTAATCCCAGCTACTCAGGAGGCTGAGGCAGGAGAATTGCCTGAACCCAGGAGGTGGAGGTTGCGGTGAGCCGAGATCGCGCCATTGCACTCCAGCCTGGGTAACAAGAGCGAAACTGTCTCAAAAAAAAAAAAAAAAAAAAAGAGGCCAATGAAAGGATTCTGCTAGGGTATCAGGAAAAAAAAAGCCGTGATATCTCTAAAGACAACATATTCTAGCTTCTCCTCTTGTGCCTTGTTTTATAGTTTGTTGCTTGAGGAAGGTATCAGAATTGATAAGAGACTGATGGGAAGTGATGATCCCATTACCAGGAAAAAAAAAAAACCCAGCAAATCAGCCAAACACATGAATATAATACATACAGTCAGTAAAACTTTTACGTTCTTTAGAAGAGTTAAAAATAAGAGGAAAA